AGAGAGAGAGAGAGAGAGAGAGAGAGAGAGAGAGAGAGAGAGATGGAGGATAGTGCTGCCCCAATGAGGTACTAAGCAGTGGATTTAGGACAATGGGGCTGTGAGAGAGAATCAGAAGGGACTTTCCTGTTATACTAGGTTCATCATCCTGCAAAGCTTAGGCTTCTTCCTTGGGGATGGGGATCTTGGACTCACAGGTAGAGACAGGTGGACTAGGACTTAGGCATGTGCTGGGTGTTCAATGCTTGCTATGCCCTACGAGGGTACTTTTTGGGGAAATGTGGATGACCAATGTTGAAGAGAGCAGGTAGTTGGCCAGTGAAATGATGGGGCTGGGAAATACGATGTTGTAGTCTGACACGGTCCCAGGAGTCGTTTTTTTAGAAGGGCTTGAGTGTTCAGTGGGACAAGGCTTAGAATCCTGTGGCCAGCACAGACACCAGTGCTGAAAGCTGCCTGGTGAGCCCCCATTTCACCCCCACATCTGCTCTTCCATGGCAGCCCTGCTCCCTGCAGTGCCGGGCATAGGTGCCTGGGAGGAGTTCCGTGGTTAGCTGGACTCCCATGCTGGGCTGGGTGGGACCAACATCAGCTTAGGCAGGTCAGGGCCCTGGTATCCGGCCCTGCAAGTCTGTCCCGTCCCAGCCTGGTCCTCCCAGCTGCCAACAGCATCCTCCCTCACTCCACCCTGTCAGCAGGGCCACAGACCCTCTTCCTGACCCATACTCTACCTCACTAGAACCCTGAGATCCATCCTAGTGGAACACTACTTTCTCCTCCATGCCTACTGCTCTACATCCTCTGTTGTTTCTTTCTCTGTCCAGTCCAGGGATGCTTCGCCCTTTAACAATGATCCCAGCTATCCAGTCTAGCTTGGCTCCACCCCAAGTTTGCCATGCAACCTCCTGCCTACCCAGCTCAACCAAGGACTGCTCACTCCTCCTCATACTTCCTCATTCTCCCCTTTCGTTCTTTTGCCTGCTTCTCTTATTCACTTACCCATCTGTTCATTCAACCAATAAATAAACATTGAGTATCAATTATGTGCCAGAAAGGCAATGACATGAAATCCAGTTTCGATTCCTAAGGAATTCGGTTTGGTAGGAAAGGAAGACAAGAAAATAGCTATTAGTGTCCATGGAGTAAAATGTTAGGCTAGGGTAGGGTACAGAGGAAGGGCCCCTAACACTGCCTGAAGTGGAGAGGCAGGGAAGACTTCCAGGAGGACGTGATGCCTAAGTGAAATCTCACTGAGTGAGTAGGAGCTCTCCAGACAACAATGAGTAGGAATTACCAGACAGAGGGAGGAGGGCATTCCAGGCACAGGTACTGCGTGACAAAGGTGAGGAGCAGCAGGGCGTGTGTGTGAGTGTGATGTGCTGAGTAGGAGCAGGGACTACAAACTTTTGGGAGCTGCTGGTATAAATTCCAAGAAACGTTCTTTCCCTCCCAGAACTGTCCTCAGCCCCCATATAGATATTTCACATGATTTATTCCATGACTCCATGAACAAATTTGTTTCATGCTTACCACGAGGTTCCCCAGGCTCTGACTCCCTTTAAAGTTACTCATCCTAGAAATGAAGAGTTATTGTTGAACCTTTCCTCCCTCCCCTTATCCGTCTTTTGATTCATTCACCAAATCCTGTCAGATATCCCCCAGGAACTCTTCCCTCCTCTCCACCCCAGGAACACTACCCTAGTACTGCAGTCAAACTACACATCACCACTTCCTCATAGTATTCCCTTGCTAAGGAGTCTTCAGCAACTCTCCATTTCCTCTTTAGACCAAGAAACCAAGCAAGCAAGCTGCTCATGAGCTGATGCCAATGCATGACAAGCCCATGTGTAGCAGAATAGAACTGTGTGCCATGGAGATTTTTCTACCTAAGTGCTTTTGAGTGGGCTCTAACAGCCAACCTTTTAGTGAGCAGCTGAGTTCATTACCATATGTACCTGCCAAGGACTTCGTTTCCTTTTTACAGAATCTGAATTACTTCGCTTGGTATGGAAGGTCCCCAGTGATTTGGCCCCACCTTACCCCAACCATATTTTCCACATCTGCTCAACACACACACCCTGTCTTAGGTCCTCTCCTCACTGCTTTCTAAATCAGCCAGCCTCTCCACCTCCTCGGTGTTTGCTCACCTTGGTTCCTACCTGGAATGCCTTTCCAGGTTTCTTTCCCTCCTAATCCTACCCAAGTCCTGCCCAAGGCCCTCCAAGATGACCTGGGCCCATAGTGACTGCCCCATCCCACAAATGACCTGCAACATATCACTGCTCTGAATCCTAAATCATCAGCACGTGTTTCCACATCTGTCTCCAGGTGTTTCCTCCTCCTGAACAGATGCTATGTTCCATGAGGGCAGGAAAATAGTTCCTTATTTGGAGAGGTCTTCTCTGTGTCTAAAATCCCATGAACATTTCATACTACTGCTCCTTGTTCCCAGTCAGTGTGCAAGATGCTTGCCAGGCCTCTGGTCCCCATCCCTGGTCCTCTGATTCTGTCTCACCTGTTGTGTCTCTGCCCTGACCTCATCTTTGTGGGCCTCTGACCTGGGCCCTTTCTGTCTTCAGTTTCTTGCTCATTCCTGCCTCAAAGCCTCAATCCGTGCCATTCCTCCCACAGAGTACCTCCTTTTCTCTGGGAATCCAGGTTTCTCATCTTCAAACCATGCAAAGAATCTTCCAAAGGGACTGCTGGGCCCTTCTCACCCCATCCCAGACACCAATTGTTCTTGACCTTTGCTGTGGCTTCCGGCCAAATTTACTGAAAGCATTCACTTTAATTCCCTTCTTCCCCCCAGGTTGTGCCATCTATAAAAGTGTTTGCCCATGACTTTCCTGTTTCTGTGCATGTAAATTCCATTTCCCTGGGAGGACTGTGAGCTCCCTGAGGGCCAAGGCTGGGTCGCTGTCCTGTTATAGACTCCTACCTTACAATTGTTCAGTATACAATCCTGGGCTGGGGGAGGGATGTGGCTCTTCCATAAATCATCCCTGTGGCCTGAGGCAAATCACTTCCTCTCACTGAGCCTCAGTTTCCTCGTCTGTTAAATGGCGGTGATAATAACGCCTACCTTTTGGGAATGTGTTGTGGCTCTAATGAGGTAATGGGCTGAAAGTGCTTTGCAAGCATAAAGTGCTCCAGGAATTCCTGCTGCCTTTGCTGTCATCATCATTATGAATAAGTGTTTCCCCGGCTCTGGTAGGGCCCCTAATTCTGACTACCCCTGTCTGCCCTCTGCAGGCTGGTGCTCGGCAGGCGAACTGGAGACCTCGGATCTGGTGACAGTGGTGCTGGGCCAGGATGCAAAACTCCCCTGCTTCTACCGGGGGGACCCTAATGAGCAGGTGGGACAGGTCGCTTGGGCTCGGGTGGACGCAGCGGAGGGCGCCCAGGAGCTGGCGTTACTGCACTCCAAATATGGGCTGCACGTGAGCCCCGCCTACGAGGGCCGCGTTGAACAGCCACCGCTCCCAAGGGACCCCCTGGACGGCGCGGTGCTCCTACGCAACGCTGTGCAGGCTGATGAAGGCGAGTATGAGTGCCGGGTCAGCACTTTCCCTGCCGGCAGCTTCCAGGCTCGGCTGCGGCTTCGCGTGCTAGGTAAGTGGGGGTCCACTGGGCAAGGTCGGGGCAGGATGGGAGCGGGCTAGGTTGGTCCTGTGTGTGTGAAGAGGCACCGGGACCCCAGGCTCCGGGTCTTGGTGGAGAAACCGGAGGCTCTGGGAAGTAGATACGGTAACTTCAGAGGTGAACGGGACAGAGCACAAGAGAAATGAGAAGTGGGATCTGTAAGAATGAGAGGCCTAGAGGGTTTGAAGAAAGTTGTCATCCAGCATGACCTCTCACCTTTCCAGATATTCTAAGTGGCTTCAACAGTTTGAGATAACTTGATAGGCTTTGGGCAGCCAGGGCCTCTGTGGGAAGAATCCATTGATGAGGAAGTTTTACATTGCGTGGAACTGAAATCTCCCTCTATTACTTTCGTCTCTGAGGCTTAGTCTCCTGCACACCTTTCATTGAGCTGAAGACCTTTGCCATGCCCTACCCAAATCTACTCCAAGCAAACCTTACAGGTTCCTGCGTCAGTTCCACCAAAGACACTGATTCAAAGCCTCCTGTGCTCTTCTGGACTTCATTCTTTTAAAACGTGAAGCTCAGATGTGCACATATGCATTCAGCTAGTGTGGCTAGGCATGGAGCTTCCTTGATCAGTGAATGTGAATGAGATCACTAGTCTTTTTGTTGGTGGTGTATTTTGGTAAAATACATAAAACAAAGCATATGCCATTTCAACTTTTTTTTAAGTTTTTATTGTGATAGTTTCATGGGAGAACATCAGTTTTACACTTACTGTTTCATCACAATGATTACAATCTCTTCTGTGCATCATCATTCAACAGTATTTGCTTCTATTCCTTCTGTGTTTTTTTTCTTGGGGGCGGGGTGTACACAAAAACACTCAGGAATATATAGTCATTTAAACAATTAAAAGACACATTCTGCAAGCCTGACTCCTTGCTACCAGCATACAACCTTTCTCTTTCCATGATCATGTCTGGACTCCTCAGCTGCTCTCTCTCTCTATGTCCTCATCTCTGCCTCCATCTCAAGTGTTGCTGCTTCTCTGGATAGGGTCCATTCCAACCAATTTTACATGCATAATTCAGTGCACAATATCCTTTAAATCACCACTTTTACTGTGGGCAATTAGGGTCAACGATGTCCTTGACCTGTGGTCAGGTTAAATCCTTCCCATTCTGTGCTTGGACTGTTGGTGTTATTAACACAAAAATACAAGCCCTTATAATTTTTCATTTACATAGAAGTTAGTAGTACTAGCCTTGGAGTAGAAAAACTTGAGCATGCATCTAGGTTTTGTCACCTAATAGCTGATGACCTAAGACAGGTTATTTATCCTTCTTGAGCTTCTGTTTCTTCACTGAATAAAAAACCTACTTCACTGGTTTGTTGACAAGATTAGATGAAATAATGTTTGTAAAGTGTTTAGCATAATGCTTGGCATATAGTAAGTGCTTAAATAAGTGGCTGCTATTATTATTATTATGAGTCCTGGTGTGGTGCTGTGGGTTAATGCACCAGACTGCAAAGCCATTTGAATTGCAAGGTCTGCAGTTCAAGCTCACCAGCTGCTCCTCAGAAACCCTATACAGGGTCACTATGAGTCAGAACCGACTCCACAGCACAAAACAACAACAATTATTATTATATAGATGTTATTTGGTTAGTTTTGTAATTACTTCATTGTTTTTTTTTTTTCTAAATGGCCCAAGCTCACTGTAAAAAAAAAAAATTCACGAAATGTTAAAAAACATACAAAGACAAGAGTAGAAGTCAGTTGAAATTTCACCACTTATCTGGTGTCTTTGGTGATAAAGTCAAAGACTTTGAGCCTGCATAAGACTGAGATGGGAGGGGGCTGAGCCTGCTGATGGGTTGTGCAGACCTCTAACTTGCCCTCCCTCCATCCTTAGTGCCTCCCCTGCCTTCGCTGAATCCTGGTCCAGCACTAGAAGAGGGCCAGGGCCTGACACTGGCAGCCTCCTGCACAGCGGAGGGCAGCCCAGCCCCCAGTGTCACGTGGGATACAGAGGTTAAGGGCACAGCCTCTAGTCGCTCTTTCAAGCACTCCCGCTCTGCTGCTGTCACTTCAGAGTTCCACTTGGTGCCCAGCCGCAGCATGAATGGGCAACCACTTATCTGTGTGGTGTCCCACCCTGGCCTGCTCCAGGACCAAAGGATCACCCACATTCTCCAAGTGGCCTGTGAGTACTGGGATGCTTGGGTTGGGGCTCCCCATGGGCTCTGGGAGGATTGGTGAGACTCCATGAGCTGAACCAGACTGAGCAGCCTGGATTCTAGAGACCACATCATGTGGCTGACAGAGCACTAGTCCAAAGATAGAAGACCTGGATTTCAATACCTTGGCAAATTACTTAGACCTCTCTGAGTTTCTGTGTCCTCATCTTCACCAAAGAGATTCTTCTCTGTCCCAGGGCTCTTGGGAGAATCAAATATAAAAATGGAATACACAATTTAAGGTATCGTTACATGCTGTTGAGCTAACTCAGACTCATAGAAACCTTAGAGGACAGAGCAGAACTGCCCCATAGAGTTTCCAAGGCTGTAATTTTCACAGGAACAGAATGCTAGGTCTTTTCTCCCGCAGAGTCACTGGTGGGTTCAAAACTCTAGCCTTTCAGTTAGCAGCCAAGTTTGTGCCACCGATGCTCCTTTGTTTAAGGTTTGGAGACAGATTTGGGGCAAGCCCTAGCTCTATGGTTTACCAGCTATTACTTAATCATGTTAGGCTTCAGTTTCTTCATCAGCAAAATTGGTATAATTACACCAACTTTACAGGGCTCTGATGAGAATTAGAAACCATGAATGCAAAGCATCTTGTACAGTGCTTAGCACATAGAATGTGCTCAGTAAATGATAGTTTTTCCAGCATTAAATTGAGCCCCTGAGAGGATATGACTGTTTTATATTCATACTAACCCAGGAGCACTTGGCACAAAGTAGGCCCTCAACAAATGTTTGTTAAAGAAATGAATGTACAGATATGACTGTTAATACAGTTGAAGAGTCACAGAACATTTATTGAGCACCTGTTCTGTGACTAGCACTACACTTGGCACCATGGGGGATTCAGAAAACAGGTGACTCAATTGCTATCCTAAGGGACTTAGAGAGACATTGCACAGGTAAGCCAATGTGAACCCTCTGAGCTTAGAGGGAGGCATGTGGCTAGAGCTGTCAGCGAGGTGGGGCTCAGCTAGGCTTTGGCAGCTGATGAGTAGGATGGCGAAGGGCAGGGGGAGACTATTCCAGGCAGGGTGGAGCGTGGGGCGGGAACTGTTTGAGGAACAGCATGATCAAAGGTGTCTTACCCATTCTTTCTCCTCCCACCTCCCACTCTAGTCCTTACTGAAGCCTCTGTCAGGGGCCTTGAAGACCAAACACTGTGGCATGTTGGCAAAGAAGGAGCTATGCTCAAGTGCCTGAGTGAAGGGCAGCCCCCTCCTTCATACAACTGGACACGGTGAGGCCCAGGCTTGAGGAAGGGACTAGCTTGAGACCAGCAATCTTTCCTCTTAGGATCAGTGTATATTCATTATGGGGCTGGGATAATATATTCTGAACCCCAATAAATTAGGGAACATGATCAAGTCAATATGCATGGGGTCACCAGATCTTGCTCAGGAAATTTAGGATGCATGATTGTCATTGGCTTGAAATACACTAAAGAAATCAGATTCCTTGTTTTTCTCCAACTTTTAAATTGCAAAATATATAACAGAATTTAAATATTAAGATTTTATCTACTTATTTGAAGGAGCTTTAAAATGTTAATGGAAAAATTCTATTATCTTTCAGTTCCATTTTTCTATAAGCTTTTTGAAGCCCCTTTGTTTAAGTACATAAAGTACATAAAGCAGAAATGTGCAGCTGATTATAATTGTACACCCTACACTCATATACTTGCTACAACATGGCCAGAACCTCAGAAGCACCCCTACAAGGAGTCCCTGGCATTTTCCCAGGGTCTGAGTGTCCAGAGAATCAGGAAAGGGTCAGGTGAACATGTATGTGAGCCCATGGTAGACATGTTCTCACATGTGAGCATATAAGCTACGCATGGGGGCCTGGGGCTATGTCCCTGTGTCCTGTCATGCAACATCACGAATGTTAGAGCATGCAGTCACATTTTCCATGTACATCTGAGCCCAGATAGAAGTGGAGTACCCTGCTGCATGGATTTTGTAACGTGTGTGCCCTACTCTAGCCCTGTTCTGGTACCCAGTGCTGGATGACGTGATGCCTATGGGTACCTGTGGGATGGCACGCGTGTAGATTTTCCCGAGTGTGTGTGTGGGGTGCCCGGGTCAGGCTGGGCGGCACAGAGAAGGGGCCTCTGCCTAGACCTGCCTAGGGGAAGGAGGGGTACCGTGGGAACAGCCTGAGGCACTGGGTGACGTCATGGGGGAGGAGGGTGGAGAGCTGCCCAGGCACGTTGGGTGGTGGCAGCCTCAGCCTGCCCCAGCCAGCACCCATCAGCTTCCCTGTTCTTTAGGCTGGATGGGCCTCTGCCTAGTGGAGTCCGAGTGGAAGGGGCCACTCTGGGCTTTCCCCGGCTGACCACTGAGCACAGTGGTACCTACGTTTGCCACGTCAGCAATGAACTTTCCTCGAGGGATTTTCAGGTCACTGTGGACGTTCTTGGTAAGCACTGGGAGGGAGCAGAGCTGAGGTTCTGGGTATGGGTCTGGTGGTGGCAACAGGGGAAAAGACAGAAGGACTGAGTTAGGAATGTGTTTACTTATAAGGGACTGGACTGTTTATATTTGCGGGGATTTGCAGGGCGTGGTTTGGGATGTGTTTTGAGAGGACAGTGTGTTGGCCTGTGGGACCTAGGGCAGGTGAGGGATCTGGGCCTTCATCTCAGACAGTGACCTGTCTCCAGCAGACCCTCAGGATGCCAGTGTGAAGCAGGTAGACCTGGTATCTGCCTCTGTGGTGGCGGTGGGGGTGATTGCAGCACTCCTGTTCTGCCTTCTGGTGGTGGTGGTGGTGCTCATGTCCCGATACCATCGGCGCAAGGCCCAGCAGATGACCCAGAAATAGTGAGTACTGGCTGTTCCCGTGCGGGTAGAGGAAGCTGGGAACCAAGCTGAGGCAAGCAGAAGGTGGGCCAGGATGGAAGAGAGATAGGAATGTGGGTGACCAGACATCTGGGAAGCTTATGGACCAGAGGGGGCAGGATCTCTCCAGAGGTGGGCAAGGGCTTGGACCTGGAGGATCAGGTGTGTGCTCCTGAGCTCACTAAATACACATACTTGTGGCCACGCAAGGGTGCATGCACATGCTGTTCAGTCCCCTCACATGCAGAGACTCCTAGCCACACCGCCACCTACAGGCACACACTCACACTTGCATTGAGAACCGAACTTCCAGTTTGTCTAAAAATCTAGGCTGAGCCAAGTTGGGTTTATCTTGGGAGGCGACCACTACCCTCAGCTCCTGACAGAGTGGTGTCTTTCTAGTGAGGAAGAGCTGACCCTAACCAGGGAGAATTCCATCCGCAGGCTACATTCCCATCACACGGACCCCAGGAGCCAGGTGGGTGCCAAAGATGGGTGCATGAATGGGGTGTGTTCCCACCAGGGTTTGCTTGTGCCTGGGCCCCTCTACAGGTCAGGATCACCAGGTCTGGCCTCCTCTAGGTCTGATTGCTGACTCACAGCTAGGCTGGGGTAGAGCTGGGGAGTGCAGCTGCTTTGGGTCTGCTGGGGCTCCTCTGGGAGACTCACTTCAGCACTGGTCTAGGGCCTTCTCTGGGAAGCCATTATCAACACTGGTGCCAGGTAGGAGTGGATGGGAAGCCATTATCAACACTGGTGCCAGGAGAGAGCGGACCTGTTGGATTGGGGTGGTCTGGGAGGAGTATGGTGGAGGGCAGAGGTGAAGAGGCTGAGGGGAGGAGGCTGAACTCTGTTCTAACTCCTCCCCCATGTCTGGGCCCTACAGCCGGAGGAGAGTGTAGGGCTGAGAGCCGAGGGCCACCCCGATAGTCTCAAGGACAACAGTAGCTGCTCTGTGATGGTGAGGCCCCCGGCCCCACCGGTGCCCCCACCATACTCCTCAGGTCCCTCTCCTGGTCCCAGATGTGGTGTGTCAGCAGTCCCTCACCAGCCCCTCTTACCTCAGTTCTGGCTTTCACTGCCCACCCATGTCTCTACTAGGCTTTGTGCTCCTGTCTCCTTTCCCCATGCCAACCACTGGTTCCTGGCCCCTGACCTCTGAGCCCCAGTACCTCGGAGACAGCCCAAATCCCTGCTTGTGTCTGACCTCTGACCCCTCCCTGCCCCACCCCAGCCGTGCCCAGCTTTGTATTTATTTGGCTGCCCGTGTCTTGGCTCCTGACTTACTTTCTGCCCTTGGTCTCCAGAGTGAAGAGCCAGAGGGCCGTAGTTACTCCACGCTGACCACGGTGAGGGAGATTGAGACACAGACTGAACTACTGTCTCCAGGCCCTGGGCGAGCAGAGGAGGAGGAAGATCAGGATGAAGGCATCAAACAGGCCATGAACCATTTTGTTCAGGAGAATGGGACCCTACGGGCCAAGCCCACGGGCAATGGCATCTACATCAATGGGCGGGGCCACCTGGTCTGACCCAGGCCTGCCTCCCTCCCCTAGGCCTGCTCCTTCTGCTGACATGGGGGATTTCAGCTCATTTGGGGGGCCTCTAAAATGCCCCTATTTGTTGAGGAAGATGCTCCCCACCCCACTGACTGCTCGACTTTTTCCTCCAACCCTTCTGTCGGAGAACGCGAGGACTCCACTGACTGAGTCCTTCTCACGTGTGTGCTGGTCACTGTGCGTGTGTTTTTGTGTTTGTATGAGTGTCACTGGCTGTGAGTGCCTGAAAGGGTGACTGTCCTGGATGTGCACCATGGTGTGTCCCTGCTGTCCTCAGATGAGTCCAGTGAACCATGGTGTGTGTGTGTGTGTGTCCCAAGATTCAGGTGGCTGTGTGGAGAATGCTGTTGTGGTCCTGTGTAGTGTGTGATTGTGTGTGACCTCTGCCTGTGAACACACAGGTATTTTCCTCAGACCCTAGAGCAGTATTAGTGACGCAGAGGTTGGAGGTGAGAGATCGAGACTGGGGCCCAGATCCAGGTGTGCGGGCATAGCTGGGCTGGAATCCTGGCCTCCCAGGAGCCGTGCTCCCTGCACCTGGGAGCAGTCGGAGAAAGTGTGAAGCAGCTGCTGGCCTCGGGTTCTGCCAGAGGCTCCAACTGTTACTGAAGAAGCCCTCTGCTCTCTGGTGGCCTCTGGGCCTGCTGAATGTACATATTTTGTGTAAATAAACCCACACTGGGGGAGCTTCTTTAAGCAATAATGCTAAGATCCTCTTATCAGAGAGAAGACTTTTAAGAAAGACACAAACTTTTGATTTCTCTGGACATTGGTTACTGGAATTGTTTGCAATTCCATCCTACACTGAACTCAGCAAAGCTAGACTTTACTCAGACTCCATCCCACGGGATGGACATTGGTTACTGGAATTGTTTGCAATTCCATCCTACACTGAACTCAGCAAAGCTAGACTTTACTCAGACTCCATCCCACAGCTCTGCAAGGTACTCCTTTCAAGGCATATTCCTTTCTAGGCAGTCCCTTGGAACTGGTGGAGTGTGAATTAGGAGGGTAAACTCTTAAGGATTACTGACTAAGGGAGGACAGGGCAGGGTCCTTGACCCTTGAAGCCAGTCAACTCTTTCCCTAGCCTTGTCTCTATTTTCAGTTCTCTCTACAGTTGTTTGTGGTCCTCTGGGGAGGTGCTGGGGCTTGGTAGCAGGGCTCCTGGTTCAGCTGTGGAGAGAAGGAGGAAAGGGTATTACAGAGGGAGGGAATCCAGGTGAGATGGAGGAGGTGCTTGGACACAAAGGCTTCCTGTTCCTCCAGGGGTTCCTAGGTTTCTTTCTCAAGGACATTTGGTCAGATTCCCTATATGGAGGCTGGCGTTGGATGAAATCTGTTTTTCCATCGAGTTGATTCCAACTCAGAGTAACACTAAAGGATGGAGTAGAACTGCTCCAGAAGGCTTCCGAGACTATAAATCTTTATGGGAGCAGACAACCTCCTCTTTCTCCCACTGAGCAACTGGTGAGTTTGAACCACCGACCTTGTGGTTAGCACTCCAACACTATACCACCAGGGCTGTTTCACCCAAACACAGTCAGAATACCTAGATTTAATGGCCAAGCCTGTGTGGCCTGGAATCTGCTGAGTTTGTGAACCAAAGGAAAGACTCTCATCCCCTACTCCTAAGCCAGCCCAGGATTTTGAAGCTAGTATCCCATTTCCACTGTGTACATTTTGTGTAAATATGTGCATATTTATACATAAAGTGATATTCTGTTTTTAAATAAACAGATAAAACCTGTTGTGCTTGGTTGCTGTTTTGCCCCTTGGCTGGTGTGTAAGCTAGAATCAGGACCATTCTCCCTGTTGTCCCAATGAAAAGAGCTAGGATGCATGTAGCTGGGAGGGAAAGGGGAAAGCTGTGGCCTCCACAAGTTCTTCAGTCATCTCTGTACAACATCCCTGTACAACAGTGGAGCTAAGAGTCTCTTTTAGGACATTTGATGCGATGCCTTAGTTTGCAAAGTATTTTAAATCCTTTGTTGTACTAGAGTCTCATAATCATGGCCCTGTGAGGTAGACAGAAGTGTAACATTTTTACAGATAAAGAAACTGAAACTCAAGTAAGTCCCACAATGAAACATGGTCTGGTCCATCCTCTTCATTTTCATAGACGGGGAAGAGGCTCAGTGAGGTGATATGACTTGAGTGAGGTTATAGGCCTGTCAGAAACAAGGCCCAGGCATTCTCCCTCTTGGTGTGCTGTGCCCAACCCTGTGCTGCCTTGCTCTCAGCCAAGCCTCTGAGGCTCCACCTCAGACCCCAGAATTCTGGTCTCTAAGTGTGTCCGTCACCTACTCCCACCCCAGGTGCCACTACCCCACCCCAGGGTTCTGACATCACCCCCTCTGGACCAATGAGTGCAGTCCCAGAAATGAGTGAGGATGTGAATGTCAGCTACCTCCCCCACCCAGGCCCTGTGGTTGCAAAGATGCTCTAACAGGAAGTGGGTTTGAGGAGCTGCACAGCTTCCTGCCCCTCCAACCCCTCCACCCCAAGGGCTGATTGGGGCGAGAAGGGCGAGTGCCAGTTCGGGCCACGAGACACAGCTTCTTGCCAGGGTCCTGGTAGCTTCCTCTTCCACAGCCACTTCCGCGTGGCCGGGGCCCCAGAGGCAGGAGCTTTGGCCGTTACCCAGGCCACCCTCCACCTCCAATTCTGAGCCCTGCCCCCCTGGGGCTGGGCCAAGCCCAGAGGTTGGCTTGGGATCCCATGGAGGACTGGTAGGGCAAAGGTCTTGGGGGACAGAGTTGGCTGGGCCAGAGCCCTGGGGCTCCGGCCATGAAGTCTCGGCAGAAAGGAAAGAAGAAGGGCAGCTCCAAGGAACGAGTGTTTGGGTGTGACCTACAGGAGCACTTGCAGCACTCAGGCCTAGAGGGTAAGGAGGCCAGCTCAAAGCTGCTGGTAGGTGGGGTGGGCGTGGGGGGGTGCTGGTAGATGGGGGGGCCATGAAGCTTCTCCAGCTGGATCTAACGCCAGGAGCAAAAGCAATTTCTGGATACACCTGGGATAGGGGCAGTAGCCCAAAGTCACCATCCAAGAGGCTGATGGGTGGCAAGGCAGGAAATGCGGCTTGTGAAGTGAAGACAACAGGGTAGTTCCCTGGCGGAACTGCCCGGGGATGGGGCAGCTGAGGAGATGGGGCTGGAGTACTGAAAGAACACTGAAACCCAAGAGAGGTGGAAGAGTGGAAGTAGGGGAAAAGAAGACTAAGGACTAGAGAGGGAGTTGGGATGGGGACAGAGGAAAAGTGGCCAGGGAGCAATGGACAATCCTTGGGGCAGAATGAAAGGAGACCGGAGAATGGTCCCAGGAGAGTCTGAGGATGGCACTTGGAGAGGATGGGAGTTTCCTAGTTGGAAAAGAGAATCCATGAACCAGATTACAGGCTCTAGCCCCTCTCTGTAGTCTTGTGGCCCACAGGTAAGAATCTGGGGTGGGGCTAGCCACCTCCCCAGTTGATCCTCTGGTTCTCCTGTGCAAAAGAGAAAGAGGTTCAAAGTGGAGGGGGAGGGGGAGAAACTGTTGAAATGGGGAACATGGGGAGAGTAAAATAAATGGCTAGATAACCAGGTTAGAAGAGGGCATGGAAAGTGCAAACGAGGGTGGGCGTGAAATTTATCTATGGAGCTTGTCCAGCTCTCTTCTTGAGTTGCCTTGGACTGGGCTAGGAAGCCAGTAGGACCAGAGACCTCACAGAATATACAACTGTTTCTAGCATGGAGTAGTCACTCAACATTTATTGAGTTGACTTAAAATTGAACCCATGTATCCTGCAGCCCAGCCCAGCTTGTTTTTGGCATTTTGAGCTCCTCCCAGAGAAGAGCATGATTCTTTCCCCAACACCCCACCCCAATCTGTCATTTCCTCTTTGTCCCTTCTTCTGCTCTGGGACTGTAGAGCCTGTAGTGGAGGGAGGGCGGTGGTGGTTCCCAGCTCATTTCCTGCTCCCAGCCCCGCCCCTGCCTCCCCAGACACCTCCTTCCCTTTTTGTCCTCCCCTGAAAGGGCCCCCATCCCCATTGGCCTCCAGTAAAGGGAAACCCCAACCCAAAAGAGTCTTACACAGTCCACGTGGGGCTGCTCTGAGCCTTCCTCTCCTGAGTGGGCAGATGAACCTGGTTAACAATCCTTAACAAAGGATTTCTCTTGAGAGTGATGATTGTTAGCCAAGAGTAACATTAATTAATTGGGCCAATATTTTTCTTTCAGCTCTTTGCGCTGGCACTGCCCTTCCCTATAACCCACCCAGCAGCCCTATCTTAAAACTCTGAACCCTCAGTCAGCAAGACCCCAGTCATTTAACCCTCCTGGTCTCCATCAGCATTCCCAGCAGGGGACGGGTGGCAATACACATCTGGTTGCTGGATCTGGACCCTAGATGAATCCCACAGTTAAGTTAGAGAGAAGTGCCCCCTGCCTTCACCAGAACTTTACTTAAGCCCAATGGTGGAGTGATCTTGGGCATTAGAGCATTACTCACAGTCCCCTTCAGTATCCTTCCTCACATCTGGCATTAAAAATTGGAGAGTAGAGGAACAGACAGAGGTTGGTAATGACTTTCCTTGTTAATCTAAGACTCAGCAAGAAAATGAAAGATCAAGTCAGTGGGTACGTGTGTATCAGGTCAATTTATCCTCTCTGACTGTTGGTTTCTATCTCGTCCCTTGCCCCATCTCAGTTCCCTTTTCTTACTCTTTGCCCCAGGTAGGTCTCTTCTTTCTCTAAGCCCTGTATGTATTGACTTCTTCCTGTTCCTAATTGTTATATCTTTACTCCCTTGTTCAAATTTCTAATTCTTCAGGCCCCTAAGCTTAGGATCTTCCTATTAACTCAATCCAGTTCCTTGACATCTTCAGCCCTTTGACTCCAGCACCCCAACCTTATCTTTTAACTTTTATCTCTGACCTTGATCGCCTTGATTCTCCCATCTCTCTAACCCCTGTTTCTCTTCCTCCATCTCTCTGACATATTTCCTCCATGGCTCTGACTCCTTGGGCTCTTGAATTCCTTCTTTAAGGGCCTTCTCAGAAGGTTCAAAACCAACAAAGAAGAACAGGATGGGGAACACCTAGTTTGGTTGTCTTTCATGGAAAAGAACCTGGGGTTTTTAGGTGACAAGATGATTCTTTATGAGTCAACAGAGTAATGCAGCAGTCAAAAGAGTTGGTGTATGTAGCCTTAGGCATCCAAGAGTAGAGGAATAGCTCATACATGGAGCAGTGTACCCCATCTCTTCATTCAATTCTGGGGACCCAAGCCTGGAGAAGCCTGTCAAATGGGAGCAGGTCTTGACATGATGTTGCACTGCAGGACCAGGACTAGTGTGATGCAAGAGAAGTACCTAGGATGCAAGATTTTAGAAGCTCTTAATTTTAGGGTCATGCAAGTGACTTAGGGTCTTCATTTTTAAGGAGACACTTATTCTTAAGAGTATGCAAGTAGAATTGGCACTTGGGCAGCCCTAAGAGTGAGTGCTTCCTTAAATTTTGCACCCCGGGTGCCTTCCTTGTCTCATCCTAGTCTTGGCTTTGGTATGTAGGAAGACAAAGGGTCTGGAAACCAGGTCACATGTGGAGGGTTTAAATGTAGTAGTTGATGGATTTATTATTTATTTCATGTTATGCATTTCTAGCTCACTTTATTCCATAGGGAACTTGGGGTGACTTTCAAAACCCAAAACTTTACAAAAGATAGAATAAATGACTGAAAGAATTGGGCTGATGGAAAAACAAGAGTAAGATCAGCATCCAGAAATGCACGTCAGTTGGTTCTATATGGTCCCTGGAGATGGACTCAGAGATTCCTAGTGGTTAAAATTAAGAGATAAACATAACCAGGTTCAAGATCCAGAAGGCCCATAACGGAAGGAAAATTTAAAAAGAATGGCTCAGGAGAAATAGCTTTTTCTGACACTGAGATCGGAGAGAAATTGCTCTGATAGGTTCCTGTTAACAGAAGCCAATGTTTTGCGTAGACAATCTTGTAGTTGTTGTTGTTAAGTGCTGTGGAGTCTATTCCAACTCATAGCAAACCTGTGCAGGGTTTCCAAGGAGCAGCTGGTGGGTTTGAACTGCTGACCTTACGGTTCATAGTCCGGTGCTGATCCTACAGTACCAGACAATATTCTCTATTTAATCCCCAAGGGATGCAGCTGATTCTCATAAGTGATTTAGTAATTTATTGAGTTGTTTAACAAACATTTATTGTTCAACACCTGCTGCATTTCAACACTGGTAAAAACTAGGGAAAAGGTTCCTATTTGTCAGAAGTATAAATACAAAATAAACTAATTGTAACAAAGTGCAATAAGTACTATAATATGGAAATTAGTAAAGGGTTTGAGGTATGTTTTGAAGAAAGCTTAGGAGTTCACCAGGCAGTGTCAGAGGAGAAGGTGTTCCTGGCAAGGGAATAGCATGCACTTTGGTACCACGCTGGCTCATAGATTAGCAAAAGACTGAGTCATGGGATTTGCAGCGGGGATCCATCGGAGCTGAGGCTGGAATGGTGACTGAACCTGGTTTGTGAAGGACCTTGTATGTCACATGAGGGGTTTATATTTTATCTGTATGGTAAACAGTGAGGATTAGGGTGGGGTGGAGCAGAGTGTGTTTGCATCAACTAATTTAAATCAAATAATTTAAAGGTATGTGCTTTGGAAAGATAATTGTGTGGCTTTGACACATGGTTTTGAGGACCTACATATGTGAAAGGAAACCTTGAAGGTACAAACTGAAAGTTTGGCAGTTTGAGCCCATCGAGCGGCTCCATGGGAGAAAGACCTGTTTCTCTGAAGATTATAGCCAAGAAAAGCCTATGTGGCAGTTGGGTTGATATGAATAAAAAATGACTCAATAGCACTGAAGGACAACACCATGTCTGAGAGGAGGACCTGTATGGCACTGAGTAAGTGCTTGGCTACTAAACAAAAGGCTGGTGATTAACATCCTGTGTGGCACTGTGGGTTAGTCCACAGGATTGCAAAATTGGTTTGAATCGCAAGGTTGGTGGTTCAAGCTCACTAGTTGCTCCTTGGAAATCCTACATAGGGTTGGAACCTACCTGACAACAATGGAGTAGGGATGGGGGAAGATCCAGCCTACGGGCCGTATAAGGTCTCTGAAATCATTTGGTCTGGCCCTGACAAAGCAACCACAGTTTCAGCCATCATATTATAGCAGACCAATTTTTAAGTTGATAATTTTGTATGGCCCTCGAATGATGTTAGAAATATCCAAATTGTCCTTAGCAGAAAAAAGGTTCCCACTCCTGACCTAGAGGAAGAAAAGATTTGCCTGGAGATTTGCTTCTGAAACGTTGTTGTGTTCTGTCTAGTTAATTCCAACTCAGTGACTTTATAGTTACAGCCATTTATATAGACCATGTCAGGTTATCCAATAAACAAAGTAAGTGTGGGGCTTACTTGTGCTTACTTATTAATCTATAGTGAACAGTTTCACATTTTTTCACCACATCAAAGATTCTGCTTCTAAGTCTGGTTAGCATCGGTCTGTCTCCCAACCCACAGTACTTTCCTATAGGATCAAAGCCTCTTTTCAAAATTATAAACCCTGACAGGGATGGAGTACCCAGTAAGCAAGGTAAGCTTCTTTACTAATATATAGTGAAGAGTTTCATATGGTTTTCACCACATGTGAAGAAGCCTATGTGAAATTATTTACTACAGATTAGTGGTGTAAGCACAAGTAGGTCTGTGCTTACCTTGCTTATTGGGTAATCCACCCTGCCTCTAGAACACAATCTACTCTGAAACACATGGCTGTCTCCATGAGTCAAAATCAACTAGATGACATCTGTGTTGTGTTTTTATGGTACCATGTGGGAGACCCGAATCAGATAATGTGCTCCTGCTGTGTGCTATCAAGTTGATTCCAACTCATAGTGACCTTGTGTAGGGTTCCAAGGCTGTAAATCTTTATGGGAGCAGAAAGCCTCATTTTCCTTCCAGGGGTTGACTGGTGGATTCAAACTGCTGACCTTGTAGTTAGCAGCCTAATGTATAACTCACTATGCTACCTGGGCTCCTTATCAGATAATATAAGCAATACCAAAGTGGATCATACTTAAATCTTATTAAGGATCTTATAATTAAGGAGCTCTGGTAGCGTAGTGGTTACGAATCGGGCTGCTAACCTCAGGATCATCAGTTTGAAACTACCAGCTGTTCCGTGGGAGAAAGATGAGGCTTTCTGCTCCCATAAAGATTTACAGCCTCGGAAAGAAACCCTGTACAGGGTCGCTATGAGTCGGAACCGATTCCACAGCACACAACAACAACAACAATAATCTAGTAACAGAGAAAGAAGGACCAGGGTTTGGTGGAATATAGCTTTTTAGCTTCTTGAATTTTAATCCGGGTGCTGCTGTTGTTGTTGTTAAATGCCCTTGAGTAGGTTCCAACTCATAGCAACAGCGTTTCCAAGGAGTGGCTGGTGGCTTTGAACCACCAACCTCTTGGTTAGCAGGCCAGTGTTTATCTTACAGTGTTACACCAGAACTCCTGATGTTTTATTTCTTTGATCCTTGGTTTTCTTATTTGTAAAATGGGACTTCTTGTTGTTAAGTGCTCTTGAGTTGGTTCCAATTCATAGCAACCCTGTATAGGATATCCAAGGAGCAGCTGGTGGGTTTAAACTGCTGGTCTTGTGGTTCACAGTCCAGTGTTGAATCTTTAGCGCCACACCAGGAGTCCAAAGTGGAACTGTTGTTAAGTACCGTGGAGTCTATTCTGACTCATAGTGACCCTGTATAGGGTTTCCAAGGAGCGGCTGGTGAGCTTGAACAGTCAACCTTGTGGTTCAAACCAACTTTAAAGTTCAGTGCATAAGCCCACAATGCCACACCATGAGTCCAAAATGGGACTAGAATACCTAATTTACAGAACTGTATGACAGAACATATCTAAAGCAGTTAGCCAGGACTGGGCACACAGGTACTTTTACCCCATTGAGTTAACATATTTGAAGGTCTTTCATTATTTTGTGTACCTTCAGAGAATGGAGTTACTTACCGAAGTGTGAATTTACTTACCAAAGGTAGTGCTTCTAAGTAATTGGCCTCATCAGCCCTTTTCCATTTTGATTCTGACAACTCATTTTTCCCTATCTTAAGTAGAATGTTAGGCAAATACACTCTCAAGACTAGTCCTTTACCATGCCTCCCTTTCCAAATAGATTTCTGATCCTTTAAAAACTGGGAAGCAGCAATCAATAATGAAACCAGCTGCCATGAAGTTGATGCCAACTCATGGCAATCTCTTGTGTGTCAGAGTAAATTGTGCTCCATAGAGTTTCAAGGCCAGATGTCTCTGTGTGGACTCTAGCCTCCAACTTTTCAGTTAGCAGCTAAGTGTGTTAAATGTTTGCAGCATCCAGGGATTCTAGTAGTTACAGATAGACAAATTTTAGTTCAATAAAATGTAGAACTTTCTCACAAAGGAATGGGCTGTCTGGAGAGGATTTAAGTTCCCCCAGAACTGGAAGGGTTTATGTGAGAATCTAGTCCTGGTGTAGGATAAGCAGTGGACTGCTAACCTCAAGCTAACTGCAAGGTTGGCAGTTCAAACCTACTAGCTGCTCTTTAGAAACCCTATACAGGGTCGCTGTGAGTCAGAACTCACTTGATGATACTTAACAACAGGACCCAGTGTGTAAAACTGTCCTAGAGGGGTTGGTGGCATAATCAGGGAGAATCTTCCCAGAAGTTTATTCTATAAACTTCACCCCCAATCTCCCCAGCACCCTTCCCTGGTGCCCCCATATATCAGACCCACTGACTTGATTTCTCTGTCTCTGCCCCATCTATGTCCCCAGTGCCTCAGGTGCTAAGAAGCTGTGCAGAGTTTGTGGAAGAGTATGGAGTGGTAGATGGGATCTATCGCCTCTCAGGGGTCTCCTCCAACATCCAGAAGCTCCGGTGAGTCAGGCAGAGCTGGGAGGGCTTTGAGGCCAGCAGGCCAGGGAACCAGAGGACCATACTGGAGGGTGCTGGGGAGAGCAGAGAGGAAGGGAAATATGTTGGGGAAGAAGGAAACAGATGGTAGGCATTGTCTTAGGGAAGAGCCCTAGAATCTCCTTAGGTAAGAAAGATTGAGATGCTTTCACCCTCTGGCAGCCCAGCATACACACATACACATTGAGCCATCTTTAAAAAACAAAACAAAAAACTAACTAATTTGGTTATAATTCATATACCTTGAAATTCATCATTATAAAATATACAATTCATTGATTTTTAGTATATTCACAAGACTGTGCAACTGTCACCACTCTCTAATTCCAGAAGCTTTTCATAACAACTAACAGAAATCCCATAGCCATTAGCAGTTGCTCCCCATTTCCTCCTTCCCCCAGCCTCTGGTAACAATTAATCTTCTTTGTTTCCATTTGTCTACTCTGGACATTTCATATAAATATAGTATTACACAATATATAGCCTTTTGTATCTAAATTCTTTTACTTACCAAATGTTTCCAAGGTTCATTTTTTATGGCCAGATAATATTCCATTGTACATCTATACCATTAGTTGGTAGAAATTTGAGTTGTTTCCACTTTTTGATTATTATGAATACTCCTGCTATTTTTTTTTTTTTTTTTTTTAACTTTTTTAGGTATAGACCTACCAATAGACTGGTGGGTCATGTGGTAATTCTAAATTTAACTTTTTGAGGAATTGCTAAACTCTTTTCTACAGTGGCTATAATTATAAAATTATACATTTTATAATTCCACCAGCAATGCATAAGGGTTCTAATTTCTCTGCATCCCCACCAACACTTGTTATCTGTCTTTTTGTTTACTATCATTTTAGTGGGTATGAGTAGTATTGTATTGTGGTTCTGATTTGCATTTTCCTAATATTAATGATGCTGAGCATCTCTTCAGATGCTTATTGGCTATTTGTGTATCTTCTTTAGAAATGTCTACTCAAACTCTTTACCCACTTCTTAATTGGGTTATTTGTCTTTTTATTGTTGGATTATAAGAGATCTTTATATATTCTGTATACTTGATCCTTATCAGATACATGATTTGCTAATATTTTCTGTGAGTTGTCTTTTTACTTTCTTAGTAGTGCCCTTTGACCACCAAAAGTTTAAAATTTTGATGAAGTCTAATTTATCTTTTTTTTCTTTGGTTGCTTGGACTTTTGGTATCATTTCCAGGAAATTATTACCTAATCTATGGTTATGAAGATTTACTCATTTTCTTCTAAGAATTATACATACCCAAAACACTCACTTATACTGTCTCCTACTCACATACCTCTACTCACATCTCCTTGACATATATTTATGGGCAGGACTCTTGCCCATACACTGACCCATCTTCACACCAAAAGCTCTTCTACACATACAGTGCTTAATATTGCTGCTTCAGACATCTATATGCCCCATAATTTCCTTCTAACTCCTGATTATATTGACCCACAGCCCCACCTGGAGCCCAATTCTATAGCTCCTACCTCTTCCCAACCCCTACCACTCCTGACCACTTTGCACTTCCCCAGGCAGGAGTTTGAGGCAGAGCGGAAGCCAGACCTGCGGCGGGATGTTTACCTCCAGGACATTCATTGTGTCTCCTCCTTGTGCAAGGCCTATTTCAGAGAACTTCCAGACCCCCTGCTCACTTACCGGCTCTATGACAAGTTTGCTGTGAGTTGAGAAGATGGGGTATAGAAGAAGGGGCTCAGGTGCTACTTTGGTTTTGACATCCCCTGTATGTTAGATACCAGCCTATTGATATTGAGTGATAGATCACAATAAAGCATTACTGAGGAAAGGCATCTCCACCCTAATCTCTCCACCCTGCTACCTCTACCCTCCTTTTGTCCCTCTTCTCTTCACTCTCCCTCCATCATGGCCTTTCCCTTTCAGGCCAGCAGATTGCCCAGGACCACCCAGGTGGTGGCACTTGGGGAGAGTAGAGGCAGAGTGGCAAAGCTAGACAATCTTTTAGGAATTACCTAGAGCAAAACCCCCCCTGTGTTTAAGAGAATGAGAACACTTTTAAGAAATCAAAGCTCTTCCAAGGCTGTCTATCAATTATAATTCTTTCTCGCTGTCATCAAACCGATTCTGACTCATAATGACCCTCTATAGGGTTTCTGAGGCTGTAAATCTTCACAGGAATAGAAAGCCTCATCTTTCTCCTGCGGAGCAGCTGCCATGATCATTTGGTGAACATAAATTGAATGGGACAACATGTTTCCAAGGAGCAGGTTTGAACTGCTGACCTTGTGATTAGCAGCCCAGTGCTTATCCTGCAGCACCACACCAGGGCTCTTTTAAAATAAGTTGCGTTTTATTAAGCACAATTGTATGAAGAGAACCTGAAGACTGGGTTGGGTGGGTGCAGATGTCCCTGAATAGCTTGAAAGAGCTCTGCAGTCCTGGTGGTACCCATGTAATGGGATCCACTGATGTAGTCCAGCACTAAAACTTTACCAGTGAGGACACAGGCTCAGAGAATGTGTGAGTTACCCAGGGTACCACAGCTATTAAGTGGCACCGCTGAGAATCAGCCACAGGTTGTAAACCCTCGATTCTGAACTCTCCCGACTGTGCGGGTCTGCTTCAGAAGATCTGTCGGGAAGTGAAGGGTGGAACACAGATTGTTTGAGTTTGGCTTGCAGCTCTGAGGAGTGAGCAAGGGCATTGCTGGGTCACTGATTCCTGCTTTTCGTACCCTTCCTCATAATCAGGAGGCCGTGGCAGTGCAGATGGAGCCTGAGCGCTTGGTCAAGATCTTAGAGGTGCTTCGAGAGCTCCCTATTCCAAACTACAGGTGTGTAGGGTTCCACTACTCCCACCTGATGGTTCTGACTCCCCACCACACACAGCCCAGGCTCTCTCTCCACCAGAGGCCTTGATCTGCCCCTCCCCTCCCAGTTCTAGGCCCCAGTCTTGCTAGGTTCTTGTTAAATGTCTCCTTTCTGCAGGACCCTGGAGTTCCTCATGAGACACTTGGTGCATATGGCCTCATTCAGCGGTCAGACCAACATGCACGCCCGCAACCTGGCCATTGTATGGGCCCCCAATCTGCTCAGGTAGGAATGCAGATGAGCATGTGTGTGGGATCCTTGGAGAGACTAGCTGTGGGATGGGATATGGGTGCATGGGCACACTGAAAGAGGACTGTGAAGTCTTAAGGAGCCCACTGAGAAACAGGAAGGTTCAGGGTTGCGTTGAGTGGGATGGGGCCCATCCACAGCCACGTTGAGTCCCTTCTCTGTGTTCGAGTACAGGGCCTTTATGTTTTCCAACACTTTATCACTGAGCTCAGAAACGGAAACATGGTAGGTGGTGGCTAAATATTTGTTGAGCAAATGTCTTAAAATCTATTGGATGATTGACTGGCATGCCACTCAGCACGGAGCCAGACAAGCTATGCGAAGTCCTGTAGCTCATTATAAACCAGGCATGTTGGGTTTGCAAAGGAAGCAGAGGTCAGTCCTGTGGAAGATGTGGCACTGAGACTTGAATCGTGTATATGATTTAAGAGGTAGAGATGGCGTTAAGGGCAGCATCCAGGGGAAATGAATCCGAAGGAAAAGGGCTGAAGCACAGTGACTTTATCTCTCCACAGATCGAAGGACATAGAGGCCTCGGGCTTCAATGGGACAGCCGCCTTCATGGAAGTGCGTGTGCAGTCCATCGTCGTGGAGTTCATCCTCACACATGTGGAGCAGCTCTTCGGGGGTGCTGCCCTCCCTGGTCAGCGTCCTTCTGCACACCACACCACCACTTTCTGCCTGGGGGGGTCATGTCAGAGTTAGAGAGGGACTCAAAGATGAACTATTCTAGTCTTTCCATTTTGTAGATAAGGAAACAGAGTCCAGGCATACAGAGGAAATGTTGCTTAATATCACATGGAGAAGACCTTGTAGAGGTAAAGACACAGTTAAGATTTGAGCAGGGAGCCCTGGTATGGCATTGTAGGTTAACGTGCTGGGCTGCAAAGTCAGTTTGAACCACAAGGTTGGTGGTTCAAACTCACCAGCCACTCCTCAGAAACCCTACACAGGCTTGCTATGAGTCGGAGCTGACTCAACAGCACTTAAGAACAACAACATTCTATTCTTGGAGTCCTGGTGTGATGCTATAGGATAAACATTGGACTGCTAAATACAAGGTTGGCAATTCAAACCCACCAGTGGCTCCACAGAAACCCTATACTATACAGGGTAGCTATGAGTCGGTACCGACTTGACGGCACTAACAATTCTACTCTCAGTCCAGGTGTAGCCTGAACTCTCATTCGCCAGCCTGGCCCCTAAAGCTAGTGACTGTTCATTCTTACCCCCAGCCCACCAGGACAATGTCCTGGGATCTCCTGGCCACCTCCGTCCCAGAGGGCCTTCCCTCGAAGGCCTTGGAGGGCCTTATCCCTGGGTGTATACTTGAGTGTATATCCAGTCTGGAAGATAGCAACGGGAACTGGGCAATGAAAGGCTAGGTGCCTGGGGTCCCTTTCTAGTCTTTTTGTGACTAGCCAATTTACTGTTTTTCCCCTCTAGGTGGTGAAGTGGAGGGTGGATGGCGCTCGCTTCCAGGGGTCCGGGCATCGAACAGCCCTGAGGACTTTATGCCCAGGTGCCTGCCCTACCACTTGCCTAGCATCTTACAGGCTGGTGACGGCCCTCCACAGATCCGACCCTACCACACGATCATTGAGATTGCTGAGCACAAGTAAGACTTCTTTCCTGCGCCCTCCTCCCCTACATTGACCACCAGCTCCATGTCCCAATTATTTCCCCATTCCCTGCAGGAGGAAGGGGTCTTTGAAGGTCAGGAAATGGAGATCCATCTTCAATCTGGGTCGTTCTGGCCATGAGACAAAGCGTAAACTTCCACGAGGGGGTGAGGACAGGGGTAAGTCTGGGGAAATGTGGGACAAACTCTGCTGATGAAAGAAAGGCCCTGGCTCTAAGCACACTCCATCTTGCAGAGGACAAGTCTGATAAGGGGACATTACGGCCAGCCAAGAGCATGGACTCACTGAGTGCTGCGACTGGACTCATTGATGGTGAGTGCCGGTGTGCACTTGTGTACATTTGTATGTGTGTGTTGTGTGACCAGCAACAAGGGTCTATGTGCATGGGTCTACATATACATGTCTGGAAATGTATCTACAAGGGAATAACAGTGTTATGGCTGAGACCACAGGTTGTGCATTCCTCTATGTATGTCTGTACATTTGGCCACCTGTGGTCGATGATTTAAAAAATATTTAATGAGGCAGAATGTTCCCTGGTAGCCGGGATGACTAGACTTTGTCTCTCATACTTTGGACATATTGTCTGAAAGGACCAGTCCTAGAGAAGGATATCATGTTTGGTAAAATGCCAGGGTGGAGAAAAAGAGGAAGACCTCCAACAAGATGGATTGGCACAGTGGCAGCAGTAATGGGCTCAAACATAGCAATGATTGTGAGGTTGCAGCAGGACCTGTTCTATTGTACACAGGGTAGCTGTGAGTCAATACTGACTTGATGGCATCTGCTAACAACAACATGATAATTTCTATTCCAGTCATTGTATTGGATGTTGGAGTTGAAGTGGTGAGCCTATAGCCTATGTGTGTTCATATGAGTATCTGTACATAGTTTTTGCAAATGAAAGGGAAGTATGTGTGTGGCAGTGATGACCTAGGTTACTGTGTCTATAGGAAAGGGAAGGGGTCTTATAGGTATGTGCATGTCGTGTGAACTGCGTTATACTGGCTGGCTGGAGAGTTTGCAGTAGTGGCAGACAGAAGTTGGGCCTGTAACCAGGAACATTTTCCAGAGTCTTCCTTAGACAACCCCTTGCAGCTGCTGCTATTGCCTACCTAGTCCTTTCTCTCTTCCACAGAGTCAGAGGGAATGATGAGACCCAGCAGTCCCCGGCCAAGCCCACTACTGCCTGGGAACTTGGAAACCAATTCTGTGGAGGCAGCAGAGGGCGATCAAGAGCCTGAGGAGGAGACACTGGGTGGCACGAACTCTGAGCCAGGCACCCCACGAGTTGGGCGGTCAACAGCCCGGGCTGGTGGCACCAGCCGTGCAGAACGCTGTGCTGGTGTCCACATCTCAGACCCCTACAATGTCAATCTCCCCCTACACATCACCTCTATCCTCAACGTACCCCCAAACATCATCTCTAATGTGTCCTTGGCCAGGCTCACCCGTGGCCTTGAATGCCCTGCCCTACAACACCGGCCAAGTCCTTCCTCTGGCCCTGGCCCCAGCCTCCCAGGTGAGGAGCCAGGGACTGCCCAGCACTGTGAAAGGGGACTGGAAAACTAGGCTGAAAGCTCTGATGCTGAGATCTTCCCTGAGAAAATCAGAGGCCTCAATTTGGTGTTGTTGCCTTCAATTGCCTCTCTGGGTTTGGGGTTGGTGTAATCTAGTAATACTATCATGTGTGAAATCTATGTGGAGAAGATCTCTGGTACTCTTCAGATGTATCAGACACAGAACAGGGATTACTAAGTATCAGTGTAGGAATATATAATAGATGACAAAATTAATAATAGTAACACATAATATTTGTTGAGGGCTCACATGTGCCAAGTGCTGTGTTGAGTGTTTTCTAGTCATTGTTGTTGTTACTAAATGCTGTTGAGTCGATTCTGACTCATAATGACCCTGTATAGGGCTTCTGAGGAGAGGATGGTAAGTCTGAATCATTGACCTTGCAGTTACAAACAAACCTTGCAGTCCAGTGCTTATCTTAAAGTGCCACACCAGGGCTCCAGTTCATTTAAATTTCTCATTTATATTATAGTAGTAGATTCTGCTTAACTTAGGTTAAGTAATTTGTTATTAATATAGACAAGAAGTGGCAGAGGTGGAATTTGATCTTTGTTCTGATTTCAGTCCCTAAAGTGGCACTAATGAGAAGTATGAAGGCAGCATGGGACTCCTGGTATGGCGCTGTGGTCTGTGAACCACAAGTTCAGCAGTAAGCTGCTCCTTGGAAACTTTATACAGGGTCACTATGTGTTGGAACCGACTCCACAGAACAACAAGAAGGCAGCATAGTATAGTGGGTAAAAGTGTGGGTTATAGAGTTAAGTAGACTTGGTTTGCCACTGATTGGCTGTGTGATCTTGGATAAATTGTTTAGTATTTCAAAGCCTCAGTTTTCTCATATGTAAAATAGGGATAATGTCCTACATAATAGAGTTGTTTTGCAAGGAAAATAAGACAATGTGTTATAAAATGCACCTGGGGGAGCTTAATAAAAGTAGCTCCAAGTCAACAGACAAAGGCGCTCTGATAGCTAACCTCTAGGTCAGCAGCTGGAAACTACCAGCAGTTCCACTGGAGAAAGAGGAGGCTTTTTGCTCCCATATAGGATCGCTATAAGTTGGAACCAACTTCATGGCACATAACCACCACCACCACCAAGTCAGTAGACAAGGATATTGGTCTGAGAAGAGCAGTCATGTGGGTTAGCTATGCTGAGAGAATTGGGCCCATATTGTATTACTGCTAAGAAGACCCACATTGGAAAGGGTCGGGGCTGGCCTGGATCTTTGGAATTCTAAGACTATCTCTCCAACAACAGATGAGAAGTCGGAGGCAAGTCCAGCACTAAGTCCCTTAACTGAATCAGGCCCAGAGGATGTGCCCCATGCCCTGGAAGATTCTCTGTCCCAAGAGGTGCAAGATTCCTTTTCCTTCCTAGAGGATTCAAGCAGCTCAGAGCCTGAGGGGGCAGAAGATGGGGAGGTGACTGAGGCAGGAGCGGCAGCCTTCTCCCCTGGGGAGGATGACCCTGGGATGGGCTACCTGGAGGAACTCCTGAGAGCTGGGCCTCAGGTAAGGAGGAGCTGTGCTGGGCGTGGGGGGCAGTATGGGGTCTGAGAGTGAACAGGACCACTTGGTCCTGAGCCACAATTCTGTGCCTACAGGTAGAGGAGTTCTCTGTGGAGCCACCCCTAGATGATCTCTCTCTGGATGAGGCACAGTTTGTCCTGGCTCCCAGCTGCTGCTCCATGGACTTTGCTGGCCCCAGGCCTGAAGCAGAGGAAGAAAGTGGGGAGGAAGTCTTCCTAAGTGCCTTTGATGACCTAAGTCCCCTTCTGGAGCCCAAACCCCCAACCTGGGAAGGTCTAGGGAGTCTGGAGAAAGAGGCATCAGGGCAGGTTGAGGGAGAACAGGCATGTTGGGAAGTTGGGGAAAACAAGGAGGCTGAATCTGGAAACAAATGGGACATCAGGGAGGAGGCCGAGGGGAGTCCAGAAACTAATGCAAACATTGGAGAGTCGGCTGAGGAAGGAGTAGAAGCTGAAGGAGGCCAAGATATGATGGTCAGTTTGAGAGAACAGGGTAGGGAAGAGAATGAGCCCACACAAGAGAAATCCAAATGTCTGAGTGAAGCTGAGAGTATGGAAGAGGTACAGGGTGTGACAGAAACAGGAGGAGAGCAGAATAAAGACAAAGAGAAGGAAAGAAAGGAAGATGCTGAGGGTGGGGAAGAGACCCAGGTAGAAATTGGAAAGGACGCAGAGTATGGGACTAGTGAACACCAAGATGCTGAGGAGAGCTGGGAAATTGTATATAAACAAGAGGCTGAGGGAGACAGAGAAGACGATGTCAAAGTACAGGAGGCAAGAGAAGACCAAGAAAATGGTGAAGACAACAGAATCCCAGAAGCCGCAGTTGCAGGAGGAGCACGGGAAGTCAGCAAGGAACGAGAGAGTGGGGATGGAGAGGCTGAGGGAGACCAGAGAGATGGAGATGATCATTTTGAAGAGGGCTCCCTTCCTGAAGGGTCAGGTGGCGAGTCCCTGGAGACTGACAGTGCCAAAGAAGGCAATGCCCAGTCCTCTGAGGGGGAACAGGCAACCTCACAGCCACTGAGGCCAGAGGAGACAGAGCCTGAGAGACAATTCAATGCCGAGGGCTGTGATCAGTGCCCCTGTCCCTCTAGCTTAGCTGGCTGTGGTGTGGGCATGCGATTGGCTTCCACCCTGGTTCAGGTTCAACAGGTCCGCTCTGTGCCTGTGGTGCCCCCCAAGCCACAATTTGCCAAGATGCCCAGTTCACTGTGTAGCAAGATCCATGTGGCACCTGCAAACCCATGTCCAAGGCCTGGCCGGCTTGATGGGACTCCTGGGGAAAGGGCTTGGGTGTCCCGAGCCTCCCGCTCCTCCTGGAGGAATGGGGGTAGTCTTTCCTTTGATGCTGCTGTGGCCCTTGCCCGGGAACGCCAGAGGACTGAGGCTCAGGGAGTTCGAAGGACCCAGACTTGTACTGGAGGTGAGGACTATAGCCTCATCCCAAGAACCAGCCCTTGTAGCATGATCCCTGCCCATTCTCATCGGCCCCTTAGCTTCCTGGAGCACCCATCCGAAGGCACGGAAGGATCTGGAACCCGGAGTCGCCTCAGTCTGCCTTCCAGAGAACTCCAGCCCCCTGAGCCCCTTACGCCCCCCCAACGCCGATCGTATGCATTTGAAACACAGGTGAATCCTAGGAAAGGTGAACTGTGATTAGGACCAGAGCACTGGGCAAAGTCAGCTATCTTGAATCTCCAGCGCCTCTGACCAGCTGTAGCACCTAATTCTAGAGGCTTTGGCCTCCTGTTTCTTTTGACCTGAGGAAGTCACAGGTTGGTTTGTTTACTTGAGTTTGTCTAAGATAGAAAAGCATGTATCCCTTAGGAGGTTCCTAAGAATGTTGCCAAGATCCTGTTCCCAGGGAGTGGGGTTATTAGCTAAAGGGAACATAGGTAGGTAGAAAACGTAAGCTTTTCAAAATAAAGAGTGGAGAGGGAATTCCATCCAGCTAAATTACTGTTCTCTGAGGCTATGAAGCTTCATGGAAACCTAAGGTGAATGGGGGAGGACAGGACTAAATCAGAGCCCCGACACACAAACACTTTTGTGCTGTCCACCACTGTTCAGTTCCTGGACCCTTGAGAGCTTCCTGATCTTCCGAACTTCAGATTAGTGAAGAACTCGTCTAAGAGATTATTTTAAGACTTCAGTGTTGGTTGGAAAGATTGATCTTTCCACTTCCTCCACTCTGCAATCCAATCTGAAAGGAGGGGCTCTTTGGCCGTTCCTTTTCTCTTTAGAATACCTTTCTCCTATCTTAGGAAAGGAAATAAAGTCACTTCCAGTAAGGAGAGGTGTCTAAGAATAAAAGTTGTATTTTTACAAGTAAACAATGTGGAGTTCATTATTCTTACAAAAGTCGTGGGCGGTAAGTATCATCTCTTCATATGTTTGGGCAGACATCTTTTCAATTTGCAGTTTGAATGTTCTTCCTCAGATGTTGTCATGGAGACCTGTGGCTAGAAACTAGAGCTGAGTTCACGGTGGTCAGGAAAAGGGGAAGAGAAATTTATATTTACATAATGCTCATTCTGTACCAGTAACTGAACTAGGTGTTTTATGTGCATAGACTTTATGCCTTTACTATTTTAAAAACCCACTAACAGTTCTGTTGAGTCCTGGTGTGGTGCTGTGGGTTAATGCTCCAGACTACAAAGTCGTTTGAACTGCAAGGTGGGCGGTTCTAGCTCACCAGCTGCTCCTTGGAAACGCTATACATGGTCTCTATGGGTCGGAACCGACTTGATGGCAGTTAATAACGAAACAGTTCTGTTAAAGTTGATACTGGTATTTACATTTTGCAGATGAGGGAACTAAGACTCGATTAAATTATCAAGTTTGCCAAAGATCTTAGAGGTAATAAAGGGCAAAGGTGGGTAGGAGAGTGGGTTTTGTCTTGTCCAGAGCCTGAACTCTTCACATTGAGGAGGTCAGGACTAGTTTCTAACTAAAAAAATCCCTCTCACAGAAACCGAAGCCTTAGGGTCTTTAGGTAAAGGGGCGGCTGACGCTAATACAAAAGAATTTAAGTCCAGTAAGCTTAGTCTTCCGGTAAGAAATACTTCACTAGATGCCCTGATCCAAGATGGCCTCCCAAACCACCTTATTAATGATGGCGTCTCGATCGGACGGTCCTCCCTGACCTAAGTGGGCTTCCTCACTCCCGTTTCCAGATACTAAAAATTGTCCTGCCCAGTACAAAGATAGTAGTACAAATCACTCGTTCCCCCCACGCCCCCACTCTTGCTGAAGGCAGTTTCGACTTCGTCGTCATTCCAGCAGGCGGCAGGAAATTGTATCTTTCCGGCCCAGCCACATCCCAGACACCACCCAATCCTGCAGCCCTGACCAAGGGAGCTAACGGAAGTGGGGTGGATCACGGTCGGTAAGCAGCCTGGGCGGGTCGAGAGAAACACTTCCGCCCCTCACCAACATGGCCGCGGGTTGGGAGTGCGCATGAGCAGCTGCCCATGGCGATACTCTGGACAGGAGGGGAGAACACGGTCGGGTAAAAGCAGCGGCTGAGGCGGCCTGACAGGGTGAGTACAGGACTTGGCAGGCGTCGGGAGAATGGAAGGTCCGGCAAGGCAGGGCAGCTTTGATTTGGTTTTAGTTTTCTGCGTTAGGAAACTGTTGGGTAAGAAACCTTTGTTTTGGGAGCGGGGGCCGCGCCTGCTTCTTTCTCTTCTGTCCCCTTTGTGGGCCGAGCTCGCTCTCTGCCCCCGAGCGGCGCACGCCCCCGCCCTCCTGCAATGCCGGACCGCGGGCCTCTGTCGGGGGCGCCGAGCGGCCGTGTCTCGGGCGGGGACGGCTGGGCCCGCGGAGCCCCAGCGCTTTTCCCTACCTCCTGTGCGGAGCCGCCGGAGCGCGGGGTGTGCGCGAGGGGCCTGGCGGGTCACGGCCTGGGGGCTGGTACTCGCGCTTGTCGGGCGCTCAGTCCTGGCTGGTCGGCCTTCAGTGAGACGCCGTATTCCCAGGCCAGATTCCTGCGCCCGACTTCTTTCGGGACTTGCTGCTCCCTCGCTTTGTGTCCCGACTTAGGAAGGGATTTCGCTGGTGTCTCCTCGTCTGAGCAGGCACGCCACAACACCCTCGCCCTCTTCCGTGTCGCACACCCTTAAAGCTCAGGAAATGCTTCCTGCTGTCCTACAGAGATTTCACCCCGCAGCCTGATCCCGTTGCCCGGCGTCGGCCCCGGCTGACAGCTGCGGATGATAGGGATGCTTGCGCCCTGCCCTCTCTTTCATTGCTACTAAAGCGCCGCAAGGCTGGGAGGGCCACCTCCTCCGCAGAGGCAGGTGGTCCCTAAACAGTAGGTGGTCCCCAAATACTTCACTTAAAAGCCGGGGTCCCCTTGCATTGTTACTTCCTCTGGCAGTTTCACTTTCAGTTCCTTTAAAAAAAACCGAATTGTTGACACTTTTCCTTTGACACTTACTTCACTTTCCAAGGTTCTTCTGCTAAAGATTCTCCTTAGGTAGGGGAGGGTTTAGGTTTCCGGTAAGTTATGGGAAGAGACGAAGAGACGCTACAAAATATCTTACTTGTTTCTTGTTGGGATTATCTTCTTGGCTTGAAGCACTGTGTTACTGTTTCTTCCTGGAAGCATTCGCCTGCTCAACCCTTTGTTTTTCCAGCCCTCTAACTGGGTGTCAGGGTCCTTAGGCTGGCATCTTTTGGATGGGTGCCACCCCCATTGTCTGTTCTTCAGAATTCTGAGTTTTCAGCTTTTTTTCTTATAGCAGAGCCTCAGTTGGTTTGGGGTAGTCATAGCAACATGTTAGCAGATGCGTTGCTTTACAGGGAGGCTTGGGGGAAAAATAGGTCTTAAAGATGTTGCATTTGAGTGTTAGAATGTCTAACAGATGACATAAGGAGCTTTGGTATCGGGCTGCTAATCTCACAGTCAGCAGTTTGAAACTACCAGCTGTTCCGCTGGAGAAAGATGAAGCTTTCTGCTCGGGTAAAGATTTACAGCCTCGGAAACCCTGTACAGGGTCGCTGTGAGTTGAACCGACGCCACAGCACACAACAACAGATGACATAAATCTAAACACCCCAAACTAGGAACTTTGTCAGTAGAATGGGCCTCAGGAGTCAAGTCTGGCCTTTGTGAATAGGGATAGTTTCCTGCTGGCAATGGGTGTCAGGTTTCCCCTCCCTAGAGTGGCGAACAGAGATTTCTTGGTGATAGTATGCACCTAAGAAAATGAGAGCAGCATCAGTGCCCATGGAACAGTATTTTTGTTAGTAATAGTCTAATTCCTATGAAGTTTCTGCCCTGACAAGCCATAATCTATCCAGATATAGGCAGTTTCTCAGTCTTCCAATCCTCTCTGCCAGAAGTTGAAGTCATCATGGAAGGATGAGAAACACTTATTTGTAGGGTGGCTTTTCCCACCATTACAACTCAGTTCTAGGCATCAGGATGGGGAAACTGATTGTCTCCTGCTGATGTTATTGTTGTTAGTGACTCATAGTGACCTTATGCACAGCAGAATGAAACTGCTCAATCCTGAGCCAACTTCACTACTGTTGCCACGCTTGAGTCCATTGATGCTGCCACTTGGCCAGTCCATCTTGTTGGGGGTCTTCCTCTTTTTCTCTGACCCCTCCACCTTACCAAACATGATATCCTTCTCCAGTGACTGGTCCCTCCTGACAATATATCCAAAGTATGAGAGACGAAGTTTAGCCATCTTGGCCTCCAAGGAGCACTCTGGTTGCACTTCTTCCAAAACGGATCTATTGGTTGTTTTGGCAGCCCATGGCACTTTCAATAGTCTCCTCCAACACCATGACTCAAAACCATCAATTCTTCTATGGTCTTCTTTATTCACTGTCTAGCTTTCACATGCATATGAGGTTATTGAAAATACCGTGGCTTGGGTCAGGCACACCCTAGTCCTCAAGTTGACATCTTTGCTCTTCAACACTTTAAAAAGGTCTTGTACAGCAGATTTGCCTAATGCAATATGTCGTTTGATTTCTTGACTGCTGCTTCCGTGAGTGTTGATAGTTAATCCAAGAAGTATGAAGTCCTTGACAACTTCAATCTTTTCTCTGTTGATAAGAATGTTGTTTATTGGTCCCTTGGTGAGGTTTTTGTTTACTTTACATTGAGATGTAATCCATACTGAAGGCTGTGCTCTGATTGGGTTATATTCCTTTGTGGAACCTAGTTCTAGAACCAGGGCTCTACTCCTTCTCCTAGACTCACCACAAACTCCCTGATTTCTACTAGGATTTATCACACAGGGCTGTGAGGCAAGAGACACGAAGACCACCAGAGAAGGAAGAGTTCCTCGGATGTGCCCCCTCACAGAGAGATGAAGGGGTGAGTGAAGAAGAGGTAGGGTCCAGGATAGGAGATGGGTGGCCTGGGAGAATGGAAAAATGGCTAAGCGCACTGGCTCTGAAGTCAGACAGATATGGATTCAGGTCCCAGCTCCATCGCTTACTATCTGTGTGACTTGGTTTCCCCATATGTAAAATGGAAGTAGTACTGTTTACCTAAGAGGACTGTTCTTAATACTGAGTAAGATAGTGAATGGTAAGTAAGCACTCAGTAAATATTAGCGGTTGCTAATTCTGGACTTACCTAGAAGATATCTGTTGGGAATGAATGCCATGGCGTTTAGGAGCCATGTGGGTCAATGAGCTTCCCTTTCATTTCTTTCCTTTTTCTTTTGTCCCTTTTCAACAAATAGGCAGCAGAAAACAGCTGAAACAGAAGAGGGCACAGTGCAGATTCAGGAAGGTGAGTGATAGAAATAGAACCAAGAGCTTTTTCTGGTCTCTCCATGGCCTATCTTCTGTGTATTCTCCTCCTCCTATTAATGGCAAATGACATGCTATTGGGACAGGGAGAAAGGCAGTACCTCATAGCTTTTTAAAATTTAGGTGCTGTGGCAACTGGGGAGGACCCAACCAGTGTGGCTATCGCCAGCATCCAGTCAGCTGCCACCTTCCCTGACCCCAACGTCAAGTACGTCTTCCGAACTGAGAATGGGGGCCAGGTAAGGGAGGGGGCCAGGTGGCTGCAGGTGTGACCTGGGTTTGGGATTGAGGGAGGTGATTGAACATGTCTTGGGGGAGCTGCTTGGATGATGAAGTGAAGTTGAGGACTAATTGGAATGGAGGGGTTTGGAATAGAGGTTGGTGTGAACTAGGATCTGTACTGGAACCTCTATAGGGGAAAGGAGGAGGCATGGCTGAACTTGGCTTTGAAAAACACTCATTTGAGGGCCTTATGTAAGCAAAGCTTTATGAAGGGCCCTGGGACCCCTGGTACTTATGTTCTTCTTCTTTTTCTCCCTTTACTCTCCCCATTTCTAGGTGATGTACAGGGTGATCCAGGTGTCTGAGGGGCAGCTGGATGGCCAGACTGAAGGCAGTGGAGCCATCAGTGGTTACCCTGCCACCCAATCCATGACCCAGGTATGGGAGTTTAGGCCAGGGATGGGCTAGATGAATGGAACCAACAGAATGGGGTTAAAGGTAGGGAGGGCAAGACACCTAGAGCATCTTGTCCATTGGCCCTAGAGCTTCTCTAAGGCTCCCCTTTCTGGATCGTCCTCCCTCTTCCTCAAAGGAATAGAGAATCTGCAGGGTATTATAGTAGGAAAAAGTGTCTGACTCACCAGATTCTGTTCTCTTGCTCCCCTTCCCAGGCGGTGATCCAGGGTGCGTTCACCAGTGATGATGCAGTTGACACAGAGGGGACAGCTGCCGAGACACACTATACTTATTTCCCCAGCACTGCAGTGGGAGATGGGGCAGGGGGCACCACATCGGGAAGTACAGCTGCTGTTGTTACTACCCAGGGCTCAGAGGCACTACTGGGGCAGGCCACCCCTCCTGGTACTGGTGAGATATCTTGTGACGATGTGGACTGGAGGGGCTAAGATAGATTGTGGGGCGTAACTAGCGAGCCCTGGCCCATCACTCATGACCCCCAGGTAGGCAGTGAGTCTGGGGTTTCCCTTATAGCAGCAAGAGGCCTGTTCTTTTCAGAGGAGTGTCCCAGGCACTGGTCTCAGAGTTCATGGTGCCTAGTCCCATGTCCTGACAGACCTACTCTGCATCTTCTCAGGCCAATTCTTTGTAATGATGTCACCACAAGAAGTGTTGCAAGGAGGAAGCCAGCGCTCCATTGCCCCCAGGACCCACCCTTATTCCCCGTGAGTGACCTTGTTTCTTCTCAGTTACCATGAGGGATTTGATCCCTGCCAAATCCTTTACCCAAAACGTCCATCTTATTTTTGGTTCTTCCCTGACTCTGGCCATCCTGGGCTCTTGTCAGGAAATCAGAAGCTCCCCGGACAACTCGAGATGAGAAACGCAGAGCTCAGCATAATGAAGGTAAGTATGATGAGAGTGGGAGGCTAGGAGCTGATTGGTGGGACTGGGAGCAACAGTGAGGTCTGAGGGTCAGGGAGAGTTGGGTAATTTTACCCTGGAGCCCGTGCAAATTCTTGCTAAGTCACTTTGTCTTTCCCTTTGCCCCACAGTGGAACGACGCCGTCGAGACAAGATCAACAACTGGATTGTGCAGTTGTCCAAGATCATCCCAGACTGTTCCATGGAGAGTACCAAATCTGGCCAGGTCATAGAAAGACCCGGGTAGTGGGCTACATGCCTGAATTCTGTCTTCTGGTATCACTTTCAGAAGTGGTAGAGAGTAGGGAACAGATGACAGAAGTCCTGTTCTCTCTGAAGTTCCTGTATGCCTTGGAGATGTTGTATCATCATTCTTAAGGAGAATTAGATCTAAAGTGTGAAAGTGCTTTTGGAAAGCAAGCCAGGTATCTTAAATTCTGGTCCTCATTTTGTTCTCTTCTGCAGAGTAAAGGTGGAATTCTGTCCAAAGCCTGTGATTATATCCAGGAGCTTCGGCAGAGTAACCACCGGTTGTGTGAGGAACTACAGGGGCTTGACCAGCTGCAGCTGGACAATGATGTGCTCCGACAGCAGGTCAGACCCCGACCCTACACATGGCCATTCCTCTCCCCCCTCCAATTTGCTGCTGACCCAGTTTAGGGTTCCCTGCTTAGTTTTTCTCTTTCCTTTCAATAGTGGATGTCTAAAAAGGCCAGGGACTTGTTTGTGCCAACTTTTCTACCCTTTCCCTTTACTGCCTTCTTCCCTTGTTAGGTGGAAGATCTTAAAAACAAGAACCTGCTGCTACGGGCTCAGTTGCGACACCATGGAGTAGAAGTCGTCATCAAGAATGACAGCAACTAACTTTGGGGATTCAGGGACTTCAGGCCCTACAGCCCCTTTCTGAGAACTGCAGATGGCTCAGGAGCACTGGGCTAGCCCCATGCCCCTTTCTTTCACTGCCCATTTCTGGCATGGGCTCAGGGGAGTTCAGAAAACATGTCTTTGAACTGAGGTCCTGTGATACAGCAGTCTGCAGTGGTGTGAAACACCCATGTGGATCACCTCGCCCGATCCCACCAAGCAGCCCCTGGGCCCGTGTGCTTTCCTGGCAGTGCATGTGCCCTCACGATGATGGATACTGGACACACTAAACTGGAGGGCTTGTCTTGTGCTTGCTTAGAGTGCCCAGCAGAGGGTCTGCTGACAGGTGGCGCTCTGGCTTGTTCCATGGACTCCAGCACTTCCACTGGTTCTTCCTTTCCTTGGAGCTGAGGTTCCCATGTGGACCTGGTGCTCTGGGGAACAGAACAGGCTTTAGCAAAAAGTGGGAGAAGGGATGTCTGGTAATAGCTGCTGCCAGGGGAAGAGGAACCTGGCTAGCAAGCAGCTAAGGCCTATGCAGAAGTCTCTGGAGCCAGGGAGAACAACAGGCAGGGGCCCACTTGGGGCCTTCCCCCTTATGGGGGAGTTTTCTTTTTTTCCTTATTATTATTATTTTTTTTAAACATAAAATTGTTTAAAGCCACAGTTGTCTTGCGTTTTTACTACTTTTGTGGGCCCCAGGAATGAAAAGAATGGGCCCCAATAAAGGCTGGGCTGAGTTTAGGGCAGGGTGCTGTTCCTATACTCATTACGCTGGGGCCCAGACCGGTGCAGCATTTCTAGCCCACGCTGAATGGTCCACAGAGATTTCTCTGGCGAGCAGTGTCAGTACCATGGTGAACAGGTGCTGCGAGGGCGGTGCAGGAGGCGGTGCTTTTACTTCCGGTTCCGGTCTTGGTCCCCGGGAGGTGTCAGGAAAATAACGCTGGAGTCACTGTGGCGGTTGTGTGCCACACTAGGATTTCGCAATTGCGGTACCATGGCTGGAGGTATCGCCCTACTTTTGGCTCCTCCGGGGGGCGGGGGCGGGGCGGGGCGAGGCGATCGAAGGGGTGTTTCTGAGAGGACCACACCTCCTCCATGGGGATGGGGCGCTGCAGACCAGGGGCCACTGCGGTGTCTTCCCTGGATACTTTTCGATCAAGGCTCCCATGCTCCCTTCCTCAGCACCCATGGTCTCTCTCCCTGAACTCCGTTCGCTCCTGTCCTCTGGCCGGGCTCGCCTCATTGACGTACGATCCCGAGAGGAGGCGGCAGCTGGGACCATCCCAGGGGCGCTCAACATCCCTGGTATGGGATTGAGAAGGGGACGCCTGGTGGTGGAGACAATCAAAGAAGGTCTTAGCCGATGGGGCCTCACGTAGGGTGGCAAGGGGAAGGCAGTGGTTACAGGGGTCCTGAGTTCTTGTAAGCTAGCCCTGAAGTTTCCCTCTAGAGAAGGGCTGATTGGAGGCGCGGCCTGGCAGTGAAATGGACCCATCCTGTTAGAGAGGATAACAGGCTGTGAGGAGAGGGGAAGATAAATTGACTCCCTGAGGCTGTGGGCACCACCTTGTCCTCCTCTTGGGGAGGTGGCTGACTTTCAAACGTGGGTTGCTGAATAGTTCCGACGCAGGTAGCCTTTTATTGTCCTTGGGGGTCCACTGTGTGTTTTACCGTGGGTTTTTTTCTCCCTTGTTTGTGTTTTGGGACCCTCTCTCCCCGAAAATTTGTTTGACCTGCAGCTCCTAGCCCTTCCTACCTGCATTCTAGTCTTTCCTCTTGACTCCTCCCAGTGTCTGAGTTGGAAAGGGCCCTGCAGATGGAGCCAACTGCTTTCCAGGCTTTGTACTCTGCTGAGAAGCCACGGTTGGAAGATGAGAACCTTGTTTTCTTCTGTCAAATGGGCAAGCGGGGCTTCCAGGCTACGCAGCTAGCCCGAGGCCTTGGATACACAGGGTATGGAGAAGGTGTGCATGGCTAGCTAGGGGAGTGGCTGGCGACTCCCTCCAGTTCCGTCCCTCCCCTCACCCCTCTTTTGTCTCTACAGGGCTCGCAACTATGCTGGGGCCTATAAAGAATGGTTGGAGAAAGAACGTTAGTTAGATGTTGATTTTACAGATTGCTCTATTCCCACCCGGGGTCCTCTCAAATGAAACTCCCTGGACACCTTAACTAGGGGGGATGAAGGGGCTGACTTGCTGGGTTGGGCAACTCCTTGTAGTGCTTTGCACTCCAAAAGATAAAATAAAGAGCATTTAGTCAAAGTCTGGAAGTTTTAATTTGTCATATGAACTGAAAACAGGTTCAGTCTTAATCTAAACCGTAATTCAGCTCTGGGTTCTGTCATCTCCTTCCAGCATTCATCTTCCTATAACCCTCTCCCCACACACGTAAATAAAAAAAACAACAAAAACATTGCCGTCAAGTTGCCTCTGACTTAGGGCAGAGCCCCATGTGTTTCACAGAGTAGAGCTGCTCCACTGGGTTTTCTTGACTGTGATCTGTATAGAAGCAGATCACCAAGCCTTCTGTGGGGCTGCTGGATGGGTGTGAACTGCCAACCTTTGGGTTAGTGTAGAGCCAACCTCTTATATGCCAAGGCACCTCTCCCCCAATGCATACCAAAAGCTTCTGTTGAGACTGCAATTTGAGTCATTGGTGGTTCTGTGGTAGAATTTTTGCCTTCCAGGTAGGAGACCCAAATTTGATTTCTAACCACTGCACTTCATGTGCAGCTACTACTTATGTTTTAGTGGACACCTATGTGTTGTTCTAATGGTGAACAGGTTGTTCAGTAGATCTTTCAGACTGTCTTTGGTTGGGTTCTCTAGAGGAACAAAACCAGTGAAATGTAAACACAGATTTACTTTATATATATACAGATTTGCTTTAAGGAAATGACTAATGCAGTTGTGGAGGCTGGTAATTCCCTAATCCGTGGGCAGGCTGGAAGCTTCTGATTTACATGGTTGCAGGAACTGACACACCAAAAATCTGCAGGTCAGGGTTTTAGGAGCTGTTGTTAAGTGCCGTCGAGTCAATTCCGACCCATAGCAACCTTTTATATAGGGTTTCCAAGGAGCAGCTGGTGAGCTTGAACCACCGACTTTGCTGTTCAAATGACTTTGCAGTCTGACGCATTAGCCCATAGCACCACTGCTGAATCCAAAATCTGGTCAGGTGATAGTTGTAGGATTCTCATGTATCAAGAAGAATGCCAGATTGACAGTGAAAGGGCTTTGCCAGAACATCTATGTTTTAGATGGATATTCTGGTAAAGCTTTTTCCTCCAGGGAAACTCCTCTTCCAAATGACTGTTCACATCAAGTCACAAAATGGAAGGTGATTAAATGGTGGTGGTGGTGTGCCGTGAGTCGGTTCCAACTCATAGCAACCCTGCATAGAGTTTCTGAGGCTGTCAATCTACGAGAGCAGAAAGCCTCATCTTTCTCCCTTGGAACAGCTGGTAATTTGACCTTGAGGTTACCAGCCTGACTTGTAACCACTATGCTACCAGAGCTCCTTGATTAAATAGTGTCTGCCAAACAACTGAGAATCATATCCTAGCCAAGTTGACACATAACATTAATATCACAGACTACCCCTTGTCAGTGGCCCCTCCCTATGCACATCTCTTTAAACTGTACATGATCTCTTTGTAAAGACAATGGTAGAGTCATGCTTGCACCTCCTGTGATAAAAGTAATGTATCCAACTGAAAACACACTTTTTGTTGTTAAGTGCCCTGGATTAGTGCCAAGTGACCCTCGATAGGGTTTCTCAGGAGCAGCTAGTGCATTTGAGCCACTGATCTTGCGATTCAAACTTACCTTGTGGTTCAGTGCAGCGTCACACCTTTACCGTGTTTGTTGTTATTGTTAAGTGCCTTCAAATCGCATTAACCCACAGCATCACACCAGGATTATACTTGTTATTCAGTGCTGTTGAGTCAGTTCTGACCCACAGCAACCCTGTATAGGGTTTCCGAGGGGTGGCTGGTGAGCTTGAACCACTGACATTGTGGAGCAAACCGAGTTGCAGTCCAGTGCACTAAGCCACAGCACCACACCAGGACTCCTAGGACTATATTTCCTTTTTTTTTTTTTTTTTTTAATTTAAGGTTTTTATTGTAGATTGAGTGAAATTTTACAGGGCATATCATCAGTTTTACATTCAACAAATCATACACCTTGTTTCATTACAATAATTATAATCCCCTCCATGTACCATCAGTTAACAGTTAACAGTATTTCTCTCTATCCACTTTATTTAAAAAAAAATTTTTTTAAATAAGTGTTTTATTGTGAATTGTGTGATAGTCTACATGGGAGAACATTAGGTTTACATTCATTCTATCATCTATCATTTCATTGGCATAGTTACCATCCCGTCCATGTCTCCTCACCCAATCCAAGGGTGTACCCTGTAAGCCTGCACCCCACCACCACGGTCCTCAGCCCCTTTCCCTCTCTGGATCACAAGTCCCCAGCCACTCCATCTCTTGACATCGTCTTCTCTGCCTCCATCTCAGGCCTCACCGCTTCTCTGGGTAGGATCCCACTCTCCGCTTTTCTCCCTTGATGGTCCTAGGGTCCTCCGCTCCTAGACTGAAAAGTTAATCACTCCCCTCCTTGCTACAAAATGTCCACCTTTAGATTTCCAACCCTCACAATCAGTCCTGATAAAAATTATTCACTATTGCATCACAAGAGACCCATCTGTATTTTGTTTCATCAGCCCTTCCTGGACAGGCTGGACACCACTCACTGGAGACTCTAACTTCCTCCACGCCCTTTGGATCTAGGTTCCCTCTTGAAAGCTTGTAAGCCAGTCACTTCTTACCTTTGTATCCCTCCCCCTATTTTTGGGTAGCCAATGTCCAAGTTGCCCATCCCTGTCTACCCTTTGTGTGGAGGGGGTGGGAATAGTTCTTGTAGCAGGGATTTATTTCCTCTTTTGAGCTACTGCGTTTATAGGTGTAGGTCATGTTTATCGAATTGTATCAGATGATGCTTTTTTCCTCTTCTTTCTTCTTCGGGTTGAGCTCTGTTTATCCAGTCATTGAAGCCAGGTCAAGTGGGTATCATCTGCAAGTGTGGGTGTTCTTGCGTCTGTCCACCCTCTTTTTATCAGCTGGCCGCCCCACTCTCCATTCTAGTCCTCTGTGGCTGTGTCATTGACTCTAAGCCCATGAGTCCCCAGGTCTTGCCTCGCTGCTGTAGGACTATATTTCTTGTTAAGGGCTATGAGTTGGTTCTGGCTCATAGCAGCTCAGTATAGGGGTTTTAAGCAGCAACTAGTGAGTTTGAACCACTGACCTTGTGTTTCAAATTGAACTTGGAGTTCTACAGCACCACACCAGGACTCCTATACTAGTCCTGTTTATATCTTGTATGAGTATTTTTTAATGAGCTCTGGTAGCATAGTGGTTACAAATCAGGCTGCTAACCTCAGGGTCAGCAGTTTGAAACTACCAGCTGTTCCGCAGAAGAAAGATAAGGCTTTCTGCTCCCGTAAAGATTTACAGCTTCAGAAACCCTATGCAGGATTGTTCTGAGTCGGAACCGACTCCATGGCACATAACTACTACCATCACCACCAATGGGGATAAGAAAGGGAAGAAAACAAAGACACCTGTTGTATGTTCATATATGTACACACAGAGATAACAAAACAAGAAGAAATACTCATAATAATTTTAATTCTCATTTCTGCAACTGGTGTCATGGTTGTAGCTGGGATTTAGAACTGTCGTCTTCCACCACCCATTCCATTTTCCCAGTACCCTCAGCACAAACCTCAGCTGGCCCTTTTCTTTTATGCAGCACTTGGCCTATGACTCTGAAGTCCTGAGTTCATTCTTTTTTTTCCTACTTTATCTAGTGAAAGTAGGATCAGCCAAATAGCTTCCTTATACTCTTCTCAGTCTAAAAAAAAGGACTGAAAAGTATCAGCTAAACAATCATCCAAAGTCTTGTCTCATTGTCTCACCAATGTTGGTGATACTTAGTGTATTTCTACTGCTACCTCACTCCATGAATTAGCAATGCCCTCTTTACTACTGAAGATGAAGTCATTAGTGCTTATAAGACTTAACTAGGCTTGAGAATCAATTCAGAAAATCCATCCTTATGATTTTGTTCCTCAGAACCAAATGTCTTAGGCTGATTTCTCTAGAGGTACAAAACCAGTGAAGCATATATAAATAGATATGTTGTTAAGTGCTATTGAGTTGAGTCCGACTCATAGGACCTGGTACAGGGTTTTCATGGGGTGGCTGGTGGGTTTGAACCACCAACCTGTGCTCAGCAGTTCAGTACACATCCTACGCACAATATCAAGGACTCCATAAGTAGTATATAGAGAGAGATTCAGAGATTGTGGGAGCTGGCAAGTTAGCAATCTATGGGTCAGGCAGCAGGCTGGCTGACTCATGTGGTTGTAGGGGCTATTGTTAGGTGCTGCTGAGTTGGTTCCTATTCATAGTGATCCCATGTACAACAGAACAAATTGCATGGTTGTGTACCATCCTCACAATTGTTGCTACGTTTGAACCCATTGTTGCTGCCACTGTGCCAATCCACGATGTTGAGGATATTCCTCTTTTTTGCTGATCTTATACCAAGCATGATGTCCTTTTCTAGGGGCTAGTTTCTCCTGATAACATGTCCAAAGTATGTAGGGGCTGCCAGCTCACAGGGGTGCTAGGCTGGTAAATCTAAAATCTGCAGATCAAGCATCAGGCTAAATGTTTCTTATGTAGCCAAGGGCCAAAGGTCAGATTAGGACATGATGAATGCAGAATCAAGAGAGCGCTTTGCACTGTACTGTGAACCACAAGGTCAGTGGTTCAAGTCCACCAGCCGTTCTTTGGGAGAAAGATGAGAGGCTTTTTGCTCCTGAAAAGATTTACAGATCCGATACAGGGTCTCTTGAGTCAATCAGTTTAATGGCACTTGCGGTGCTGTGGGTTACTGTGCTGGACTGAAAAGTTGGTT